GTATTGTTGCTGCCGCCACCATGTCGTGAAGACGCTGTGTGCTGCATTGTGAAAGTGAAACTACTTTGTTTGGTCTTCCAAGAGAGGACATATCCGCTTCGTCATGCCTAGAGCTGATCTGTGCTGGTCGCTGAGGAAATACATCAACTTAGTCCTGCTCAGCTCACGCTAGCCCGCCGCCGGCATAGACTTTGTCACAGACTTTCCCAACTTCAGGGGAAATACTACCATCCTCACTGTCATTGATCGCTTCTTTAAAGCCTGTCGCCGGATCCCGTTACCAAAACTACCCACAGCCCTTGAAACAGCAGAGGCACTGTGTAGTTATGTCTTTTGCTTCTATGGTCTCCCTATGGATATCATCTCGGACAGAGGGCCCCAATTTACTTCACGGGTACGGCCAGCTTTCTTCAAATACCTCAACATAAACTTAAGCCTAACCTCCAGGTTACCATCCTGAGTTTAACGGCCAAACAGAACACTTGAATCAAGAAATCACATGCTTCCTACAATCCTACTGTGACTGTAACCAGGCTGACTGGAGCAGATATCTGTTTTGGGCAGAGTATGCACAAAACTCCCTGCGCAAACCATCCACTGGACTCGCACCCTTCCAATGCGTGATAGGGTTCCAACAACCTCTGCATGCAGTAAACGACTACCTCAGAAGTAGTGAGATCACCTGGAACGAGGCAAACACACCTTCAACATGCCGTCAGGAGACAGAAGGAACAAGCCGATTGTCATCGACGTGCTGACCCCGAGTATGCCCCCGGAAAATGGGTGTGACTTTCCACCCATCACCTTCGACTCAGACGTCCCTGCTGTAAACTCCGTCCCAGGTATGTGGGTCCATTCAAAGTTGTTGTAGGAAATAACTCCAGTTTCCTACCATCTTGCTTTACCTCCTCAATATCTCACCCACCATCCATGTCTCTCTTCTTAAGGCTGCTGGTGCTCCAAGAGGGGCAGATGACCTAGAGGAGGCCCGGAACCAGGGGTCCCCTCCCATGATCATCGGCGGCGAGGAGGCGTACCAGGTACAGGAGATCCTGGATTCCCAACTCCGGGTATGAATGCTGTAGTATGTTGTGGAATGGGAGGGGTATGGACTGGAGGAGAGGTCTTGGGTCAATGCGGAGTACATTCTCGACCCTTCACTAACGGCTATCTTCCATAGGGCCCATCCGAGAAAACCAGCCCCTCGCTCTCATGGAAGACCCCGGCGTCGTTAGCCTCCTCATGTCAGGAGCCGCTCGCAGGGAGGGAGCTCTGTAACGAATCCGGCCTCTGTGGTTCCCCCAATCGGCACCAGGGGTCGCCATCACTTGAGTACTAACTTTCCCCCACGAACTCCATTTCCCATCACCCTGCACCTGGCACTTATTATGAGCTCACGTTACCGGGTTGAAGCTTGTTACCGGGACTACTTATGCCACAGCCATAGAGTGTATAAAAACATGGACGTAGTGTCCGTGACATCACCCGTAGGTTTCTGAAGAGCGTTTTTGAAGCTCAAAGCGGGCGGAGCCAGCTGTCGCCATCTTGGCAGCACGTCACTCCCGGATAATCGAAAATGGGCAAAGAGGCGGGAGCTGGTTGCTGAAACCACACCCACCTAGCTCAACGGTGGTGACAACAGCGGCAATCCACCTGTCACTCAAGAACTTTAAGGCTTAATATAATTTAAAGGGGTCCTATTATGCTTTTTCACTTTTTCAACTTTAGTTAGTCTGTAATGTTGCTGTTTGAGCATAAAAAATATCTGCAAAGTTACAAAGCTCAAAGTCCACTTCAAAAGGAGATATTTTATTTAACAGAAATCACTTTTCAAAAACTACAACGAACGACTCGTTTGGACTACAACGCATATTTTCCGGGATTTGTGATATCAAAAATACAGATGAATGGGACGAGACCTGGTTGAGTTGCACTAGAGAAGGCAATGAGTGTTATCACTATGTC